CCCCAAAACCCCAAAACCCCTCAGTTCTGTTTTTTCTTAATAAGCTTATCTTAGAAATTATATGCTTTAATTATTTACAGAAGATGTAAGCACAAAAATTATTAAAAATAAAAATTGAATGATTATGAAATAGGTTTTGAGTACAATGTAATCAAGGAAAGCTTAAATAAAAGATGGAATCATCAGCAAAATCTTTTTAATACTAATTATGACTGCTCTCAATGTCAATACTTAGCCACCAAATATTGAAGACACTTATACATTAAGATTGAATTCTAATTCTCCTAATTACTAAGTGTGCTATGACAACCCCCTGTATAATTTAGAAGCTAGCAAGTATGGAGTATATGACGTCTGGTTCTACATATAATACTGGGATTAATGGAAAATGTTTGATAGAGGAATTTTAATGAAATTCATGTATAATAGTAGTTACCCAGCTGTGCAAATGTCTATTTGGAAAGATTAATATGATACTTATTGGACTGATATACTCTCCTTTAAGCACTGGTATAAGTAGTAACACTTGACTCTGGGAATTTATGAAAATGGAGCAGAGATGTCTTGAGAAAACTTTTATGGTGGATGGACCAATGTTTAAATTGCATTCTCATAGTCAAACTCTACCTGGATTATTGGAAGAGATCGTGGATATTATACAAGAAAAATGAGTCAAAATTATCCTCACCCTTTAAAAGTTTGCATGTGGTAAATGCCGGCTGACAATTCTTCAATGTATATTAGGCAGAATGAGATAAAGTTCTTTGCCTATTAAAACACAGAGTTCTATTACTTTTATCACTTCATCTATCGATTCTACGCCTAATCTTATAAATTATACACAGGTGTGAAACCTACTTACATAGTAGATTATTATAGACCCAAACCATAGAGTAGTTCCCTTAGTGGTTGGACAGCCTCAATAAATACTAATTTAAAAGCAACCTTCACAGATCAGAGTAGAGTTAGTTGGTCTGATACAGATACTTTGGGTGAGAATATTAATTATTGCATGCCAGGTTATCATAAAAATATGAGTTATTGGAATTGTACATAATGCGATTCACCTTGCTTTGAATGCAGTATTTGGAATAGTTCATTTTGCTATTCGTGTATTAAAAACTACTACCCCTCAGAATATTATTGCTACAAAGCAGACTGTCCAAAAGGTTAATTTTTCAATGATACTCGTAAAATATGTTAAACTTGCCCAGCACCATGTTCATCTTGCAATGATGAGGGATAATGTTTATATTGCCAAGCTGGTTACAACTATATAAATAACGGTAGTAGATTATGTCTAAGCAATGTAGATGGATGCCCTAAAAATACAACTTTAGATTCCGATGGATATCGGATATGCTAGTAGTGTCCTCAGGGTTGCAGAACCTGTAATTCATCTAATTATTGCTATTCTTGTCTTACTGATTATTATTTGAAAAATGGAACTTGCTTGCTTAATTAATGCTCAATGGGCAAATATCAAAATTCAGTTTCAAAGTAATGCTAAAATTGTTCTACTAATTGCAGCAGTTGTAGCAGCAATTAGTGCTTGAAATGTTATAATGGATCATATCTTGATACCACTTCAGGTACATGCAAGCTAAGTTGTCCAATAGGTACATATCAGAATTAAACTTCTGGCACTTGCTAGAAATGCTAGTCGAATTGTAAGCAGTGTATAAACAGTAATTTCACTTGCACAGAATGTGATTCATCAACTTATCTGCTTAATTACTCATGTGTAAAAAACTGCCCATACTTAGGTTACTATCAAAATTCAAATAATAGAAAATGTGATAAGTGCAAGAATAGTTGCTTATTATGCGTAACCAGCGAAACTGATTGTGTTTCATGCAAACCTGGAAGCTTATACTCTAATAGGTAGTGTTAAGACTCTTGTAAAGACTAAGAGTATGCATCTCAAGCTGGATTTTGCTACCCTTGTGATCCAGCTTGCAAGGTTTGCAATGGCTCTTTAGATTCTTTATGCTAAAAATGTAATCCAGGCTATTATTTATAGGGTTCAACATGCTATAAGAAATGTCCGACCTCTTATTATCCAAATTTATTAGCTTAAACTTGCGAAAGTTGTAAGTACTATTGCGATGATTGTAATCAGGATAATGACTGCAACATTTGCAAGTCTGGCTATGGATTCATAAAAACTCTCAATTGCACTGGTGAATACTTTTATAAATCAGGTCTCAATAGATCTTTATCTCTTCCATTTAATACTTAAACTATTCCATCTGACTTTGATCCTGAAGAATTAACTACAGAATTATGGTTTAAGGCTCAAGATTTAATGAGTATAGCAATATAAGTATTGCTTGGGCTAAATCCATATAAGATTAGAAAAATAAGTAATGATCCCATAATGTAGCTGCAGTACTAGAACACTTTGTAATATTGCAATTCAGAACCTATCTTGAAAAATAATGTTTGGTATCATATTGCCTTCACATTTAGTCAGAAGACCTTAACCTTGGCCTGCTATTAGGATGGAAATTCTGTCCCAGTTGGATTGAGCCCAACAATAGTGGTTGTCTAAAATTTAATTAAACCGGAAGAAATGACTCTTGGAGGGTCTAAGGACCTAAAATCATAGGAAACGAATTTTGATGGGTATATAAAAGAATTCAGATTGTGGAAAATAGCAAGAACTTCTTTCTAAATAAAAAATTTCAGAACTGTTTCTTTTACAATTGCTCCTCCAGATATGATAGCATATTGGAGGCTAGATGATAAAAATGACGGTTCAACCTAAGTTTTTTCTGAAGCCACGTCAAATTAAGTTATAACTTACGATCCACAACCAATTTTAAAAATTCAAGATTTAGTAGAGTTCAGAGAAATATATCTGAAGCTATGTTAAGAGGGTACTTATTCTTACTTCAATGAAACCTTAGGATACTATATATGTTTACCTTGTGATAATATGTGTAAAAATTGCATTGGTAAAACATCTTCTCATTGTATTGAATGCAACTTACCTTATAAACTTATCAAGGAGGAATTTATTTGTAAAATAGTTGAGTATTGTCTTGAAGGGGAGTTTATGGACAAAATAACAGGATTATGCTTTAAGTGCAATTCCAATTGTAAGACTTGCTTTAATGATTCAAATAATTGTTAAGCATGCAAGCAAGGTGCTTTTAGAGAGTATTAAGGAACAAGCTGTGTTGATACTTGTCCAGTAGGAATGTATGGAAATGTAAAATCATAGCAATGCTACTTTAATCCAAGAATTGATTACATTATCCCAGCGTCAGAATCAATTATACTATTTGGTTCGTTTATTGATGTTAAAGGTAATTTTACAATGCTCAATAAAGAAGATAAAGAATCTTATACATATGGTTGGAAAGTAATCAGACTTTCTGATAATTTGGACATCACTGTAGATGCTGTCAAGCCATATTATGAAACTGACATTAGAAAAATGCACATGGACAACAATATAATCTAAGCATATAATTACTACTCACTTACCTTATTTGTCAAAGGTTTGCCAGAGTTCTACAATGGTCTATACGCAGAAATGGTGAATACATTTTATGTTGGATCTGCACCAAAAAATGGAAAATGCTAAGTGTTCCCTTTTTAAGGAATTGCAACTGTGACCAATTTTAAAATTCAATAATCAGGATGGGTCGATGAAGAAATTATCACTAGATATGATTTCCTTTACTCTCTTGATGGTGGTACTGAATATTTTCCTATATAAACAGATAATAGACTCTCGCAAGAGATATCTTATTAATTCTAATCTATCTACGATAAGTTTATTGAAGTAAGAGTAATGTGCAAGGCAACAAACTTGAAAGGCTTTTCAAGTAAAATTACAACACTAATTGTCCTAGAAAAAAAATCTAATGCTGATGCTTCTAAAGATCTTAGTAACATAAATACATTATTACAAGAAAATGAAGAGGATATACTCTAAATGATAATACAGTTAAAACTTATTACAAAATAGCTTGGTAATACCAAAACTTAAGATCCTCAGGCCTTTGATCCAAGACTATCTTCTAAAGATTGCAATAACAAATTATGCAACAACAATGGAAACTGTGTATATCTAAATTACTAAAAGAAGTATTATTGTAATTGCACGGAACCATTCGCTGGTTTGAATTGCACTTATTCGAATAAAACCTAGCTAATCTAGATAAAAAGCTTTATCTCTTAACTGAGCGTAAAATACTTATCACTTTCAGATAAGCAATACGAAGATATTTTTTTAAGTCTAGTTTCAGACTATCTAGAAACTATGAATGATGTAACTTTTGGTATAATAATTTAGATAATTGGAAATCAATTTAGCTAAAATGGCTAATATCCTCTGACTAATAAATAAGTCACCTATTACATGAACTTAATTTCTAATCTGATAGAGTATGTAGAAAATTAAGTAGTTTAATTAAATGCAACGAGAACATTACTTAATGATGAAATAAAGATTCAAAACTTATAAGATAATTACTAATCAGCTCTAGACTTATTTGAGTACTTGAGATCTAATTCCCTTAATCAGATTGATATGCTAGATCCATCAAAACAATTCCAATCAAGAATGATAAGTTACAAGTAAATACTAATAAGCCAGGATTCTTTGCAGTAATTGTCTGCAACCTAGGATCTAAAAAAAAGTTTGACAACTTTTATCAAGATATCAGAAATAAACTTCAAAAATTAAGGCTTGCCTCTAGAATAAGACTTTATCTTTGAAGCAATAGAATTTGCTGTAAACCCCTATCAAGTGGTTAACTTTGAAAATATATCTAATAATGTGTTCGAGGTCAGTTTTTATAATGCATCAGACAAAGCTAAAGCAGAAATCAAGAATCTCTCAAATGGATTTGATTTCTATTTCCCTCATTAGGATAACTAAAACCTCTCAGAATTTATTACTTACTATAATTCATTAAGTCCTTATAAAGCTAAATAGAAAGCTTTAAGATCCTAACTCTTATAAAGCAGCAAGCTTGATTGCCAATATTGGAATAGCCATCAATGGAGCAATTAAGGTTGTCATTTGTAAGGTGTGGATAAGACACATATAAAATGCAATTGTAACCACCTATCTAGCTTCTCAACTACATTTATGACCCCAAAATAAAGCAGTGCTTCTGCTGAAACATATACCAATAAGTATTTAAAATCAAATTTAGATGATGATGGTAAAATTAAAATAGAAGATCTAATAGTGCCTTTTGACAAATATTTTAAAAACTTAGAGGAACTGTTGCAGCATAAAACTCCAAGTCTTATAGAATTCATTTTTAAACCTGGAATTTATATTGTGCTCCTATTTTGGCTTATGTACATTTCCTCCCTATTTTACTATACTGGCAAAGACAAAATAAAAAGAGAAAAGATGACGAAGTCTTAGATCAGAGATGATCTTGCAGAGATTAAAGACGATAAAATATAAAATCTGGATGAATTAGTAAAAGAGTTATTAGCAAGAGATCTGAATAAAAATTAAGGAATTTAGCCTTAAGAAATTTCATCCTAATAAACAAGACAGAACAGCGGTGAAGATAGAATAAAGTTAAAACTGAATAGGTTAGATTACATTAATCAACCAAAATAAGTTTTGTTAACTTCCTAGAACTTTACTTTGGACAATCTCAACATTCCAACATAAATTATTGGCATGGGAGGAAATTCCCCGAAACTAATTATCAAAAATTTTGAATAGCTTGATGAATACTAACAAAAATTGATAAAAAGAAGAGCCAGGAAAAGAGTATTTGGTAGAGTTGGAGATGTTAATGAAAGAGCAAAAAGATTATACAAGTAAATATTCAAGAGAAAATAGTTTACACCTGAAAATAAAATGAAATTCTTCCATGAAGCTTTGAAAAATAATCTCTGGTTTAGCTTAATGGCAAAAACAAGCAAAATTGCTCCAAGACATACTAGATTAACTTTGTTGTACCTTTATATTTCGATGCATCTTAGTATCACCTCAGTAGTATACATTTTCGGATATTAACAGCTAATTGCAGATTTAATTGGCGATTCTACTTTCTCAACTCTAGCTATTGCAATTTTACCTCTTATAGCGGCTTGGATCATTTGTTTGCCAGTAGCTCTGGTATTCAGAATGCCAATGACTTTAAGGAGAGAATTAGAGGGAGTAAGGGCAAAAAAGATTAATAAAGTTTTTAAGGAAATTGACTAGCTAATGGGCTGTAGATATGCTCTTGGCTATTTTATTAGTTTTACTTGTTTTGTCATAATGACTATCATTGTAATATTCTTTAACTATATTTATCCGACTGACTACTGTATGGGATGGATGATGATTTTAGTAGCTTTATACTTTCTTGATATGATTATTTTTACACTAGGATTTGCAGGATTTTAGCTTTTGAATATTATATTGTCCCTAAAATGTAGATTTTTCTATCATATTTGGGCATTATTTGAAATAATTAGATATTACAAGAATTTGCGTGGCTGAGATATCTAATTAAGTCATAAATTACAAATCATTATTTTTCTTAATTTTACAAATGTTCTTTATTATAACTTACAGGGGGTTTTGGGGTTTTGGGG